TAATTTGCATATAAGGCTTTTATATAAACAGATAAGCAGAAGCTATCGATAGGAAAAAAGGTATACAGGGTAAGGTAAGGAATGAACAGAGAGGAGAAAGCAAGAAGGAAGAAGTAGGAGAGACATTAATGATATGATGTAGAATCAAGATACATAAACTCATGCAGGGGTGGTACTTAACTAATGCTATCTTGGATTTGAAATAATTTTTTCATTCCTGTTTTTCTGCTATGAGATCTAATTCTGTTCAGGTTCGGCTCTTTTTGTGGCCAAATTGTTAGCTATGTCTTACTTCCTAGGCACATGTGCTCTTACAATAAAACTTCTATTAGACAAGGTAACTTTGATGAATGGATGCCTGTTCCTCAAAACTGGAGATGTTTATTGAGAACTAGAGGCCTGGTGCACAAAATTTGTGCATGGATGTGGCCCCTAGACCTGGCTGGCAATCAACGCCCAAGTGTCTGGCATAGAAGGGCAGGTCCCACTTGATCTCTGGGCACTGGGCAGCACCTGGGCACCTGGGTGTCCCCCTCTGCCTGAGTCATCAGGCCCCTGCCCAGCTCCCTCAGTGCCTGGAAGCCGGGCAGTGGCCTAGCCCCCACCACGGCTGCTGGTCACAGACTGCGGGATGATCAGCAGGGCGATCAGGCCCCCACTCGCATCCACCTTGGCCTGGCCCTGCCTACTCACCTGCCCAACCATCCTGTTGTGGTGCAGTTCTCCTTGGGGCCCATTGGGGCCGGTAGCAACTCCACTGCTGCCTGCTGCCAGCGCCACATCACTGATACCTGCTGTGCTCTGGGCTGCCCCCTGGTGGTCAGAACATGTCATAGAGAGCAATCGAACTCCCAGTTGAACTCCCAGTCAGGGGACAATTTGCATATTGGGCTTTTATTATATAGGATGAGTACAGAATTAAAAGGACATGTTCAGCAGCAAATATTTTTTAAAAGGCCTTAAAATTCTGAAAGAAAAAGCTCAATATATATCAATTAAGTAGTTTGGTCATTCATTTACTTTTTCATTCATTCAACAAATATTTGTTGAGCACCTACTATGTGCAAAGCACTGTTATGGGTAACAGGGATGTATCAATGACTAAAGCAAAGTTCACCCAAATGAAATTTAATTCTAGTGAGGCAGACAGACAGATCACAAGCAATCATACAGTTAATATAAACATGTGATAAATGCCAAAACAAAGCAGGATAAAGAAATTGAGCATGATGGGTGTGAGAGGTGATTTTAGATATTGTAGTTTAGATAATAATTTGAATAGTATGTTCTTAGAAGAGCTGCTGACATCTGACACTTTATTGGGGTGATGGGTTATGTCTTGCAATTGTGACATCTCACATATTGTTTTCATTTCAGATTGCTGCACATTAGGAAGAATATAAATCATAACTTTCCCAAATGAGTTATAATCAGATAAATCAGGAGAATGGGAACCCCAAGCCATGTCATATAAAGAAAAATTCAAAATATTGGCAATGTTGAGCCTAGAAGAGACAGAGAGATAGCTTAGGAGAAACTTGATGGAGTTCTCCAAATTCTTTAAGAACTCTCTGGGAGAGACACTGGATTTGTTCTGTTTGAACTATAAGTTAAAAGTTATAGCTATCAGCTGATCAAAGATGAATTAGGTTGTGTTTTTAAAAAATATATTTTCATTGATTTCAGAGAGGAAGGGAAAGGGGGAGAGAGAGATAGAAATATCAGTGATTAGAAGGAATCATTGAATGGCTGCCTCCTATTGTGGGATCTAGCCCACAATATAGACATATGCCCTGACCAGGAATCAAACCATGACCTCCTGGTTCCTAGGTCGATACTCAACCATTGAGCCACACTGGTGGGCTAGGTTGGTGTTTTAGGTATAGGAAGGTTGACCACTTGATAAAGATATTGTGTAGGTGAAATGAGTGTCAGATAAATGGTTAGATTAGATGACTTCTACTATATTTTCCGAAAGTCTTTGACTCTGTAACCTTTACAAATGATGACATTATTACATCACAAAACACTTCATTCGGTGGCCTCTTTACTTCAGAGAATAAAATGTGAATGAGGTAGCCATCTCTGAGAAAGGAAGGTGGAGTCCTATGGATTTCCCCCAACTTATTATCAAATGCTTGATTTACTAAGCAATTCACTAATTGAATCCTTCTCAAAATGGGGTAAATTCTTCCACCATGCTCTTCAAAGGGTCAGGGGGCAAGTTCAATCAAGTATTAAGGAAGCTGGCAAAGCTTTGGACAAGTCATCTGGCAAGGAAGCAAACATGGGTTAGCCCACTCGGAACTGCTTCCTCTTTTTTTGGTTTCTGAGTGTCTGCTTCCTTCTCTGACAGGTTTGGTCCAATCATGATGGGGGTTTGGAACTTAGTCCAAGAACTTTAAGTCCCAAGGTCCTTGGTTCACTACCTTACTTACTCTTCTTTCCTCTGCAGCAGGAAAGTAATCAGCATAAACCCACTGAGAGCTACCTACCCCCGTTGCCTCAGAAAAGTTTAAGACCTAAGCTGAAACCAGTCTTCCCTGTGACACTGTTGAAGGATGCCAAATCCAAGCAAGAACAACTGTTTAGGTGAAGTCCTGGCTGCTCTTGTTCTTTCTTTCTTTCCCATCATTACCTTATTCATGTTACAATCTATTTTCAATACGATTTAATCTTTCTGCTTGTTAGGGTATAGAAAAGTACAACTGTATATTAATAACACACAATCCCCAATATCTTTTACACCCTAAGGAAAGAGAAACTCCTTCAAAGCTAAGGTTTTTCGTTAAGAAGGATTTTCAAGAGTGAAGAAAAAAAAAAAGTATTCAAAGATCTATGATTTGAGGAAACAGGAAAAAAAAAAAAAAAAAAAAAAAAACTTCTCCTCCTACCCCTCTCCCCTCCTGCTCAGTGCATGATAAGGGACAATGTGCTGTGAGATTTTATTTGAAACTAGTTCTATGAGCAGCCTATATCCAATGTGGAGAGGAGAGAGGAGATTCTGAACTTCCTTAAGAGGTTTACAGGCTAGGTTCTGAAAGCATCCCTTTTACTGAACATTCTCCCCACTGTACCAACGAACACCTATCCTTGCCTTCTCTCCCCTGGAATCTGAGAGTGTAGTGACTGGTTCCACTAATACCCAACCCTAGGATTTACTAAATGAGCTTTCTTTGTTAAGGTTTTCCACCAAGAATGATTTCAAGAGTGAAGGGAAGTATTCAACAGTCTGCAATTTGAGGAAGCAGAAAAATATGTTCCCTCAGCTCGCCTTTGCTAAACTCTCTCAAGAAGATTTGAAGAAAGTTGGTAAGCTCCTCTCATTCAAAGCAGTGGCTTACAGGACTGAGAGGTGGGCAGAGGGGCATCTTATAGAGACAAGATTTAAGGGCAAATCGACATCTCTCATGGAAGTTCTGGAGACTATTTTTCCTTGTAGAACAGAAGCTAAGAACTGATAGAGGCTCAAATAGTGCTAGGTTTTGAATTCTGCTTAAATCTTCAAATTTCAAGATGCCATAGCACAGTGCTTCCCAAACTGCATCACCTACCACTTTAAAAGTTCGGGTGTATTAAGTTATTTGCCCTATTATTTATTTAATGATTTTGTTCTTGTCCTAATTAATACCATATCATTAACATGGGTTTGATATACTAATTATGTTTTTTCCCCTGACATTTAATCAAACTCATAATAATTAGAATTTGAAATGTTTATGTATCACCTAAAACTACCCAGTAGTATGCATATCACACTTGATAAAAACTGTTCTAGAAGGTCCAAAGGCTAAGTCAGTCTGTCAGCCTCACAGTCTCAGAGGTCCAGGAGTGTCTTCCGGAACGAGGCAGGACGTGGGGTGGGAGGGGTTTGACATAAGGTTGCATGGAATGGAGGAGGGTGTAAGGAGAATGCTCCTTACACGTTATCATTCATGTAAGGACGTTTACGGGGCAACTAGCAAGTGTTAATCACTTAACCAAGCACCCATAGTAGCACATTCGATGTATGAGACAGATGGGCCAAATCATGAAGGGCCTGGGTGCTATGGATTAAGGGCTTGGGTTTTTCTCCACTAGGCAGTTGGGACCCATTGAAGAATTTCCGAGCACTCAAAATGGGTAGTTGAGACTCAAAACCAACACACTTAGGGAAAAGGCTAAGCGGTAGAAGAATATACAAGTGACTGTACCTCAACTTCGTAAGAGTGACATAGGTTATCAGTGTGGTTGTGGATGGAATCATTTGAGAGGGGCGAGGTTCAACAGGGAAATACTTTAAACTGGCAGTGTTTTCATCTGGGCTTTGAGGAAGGTAAGGAATCCAGAATTATAAGCAAAGTTGGGAATGGTAGTCCATGCTCTTACGAAGAGTCAAGCCCCCTTTGCTAGTCCCCCCAAGTGCGTCAATTTCACGTCAATTTCACGCCTCCTGTCAAGTCTTCCCTCTGGAAGTCCGCATTCACCGAGGCACCCTCCTGTGTTTTGTTGCAGCTGCCAAGGAGTCGAAAAGTGCCATGCTGCATAGGAAGGTGGAGTGGGAACCACTCACCCTGGCATCGCTCCTGGAGCTGAAGCCCAGTAAAACGGCGCCGGGGGCGAGCGCCTTCCGCAACGGGAGGGTCAAGCAGTGGTTTCTCAACAACACCATTGTCACTAAGTAAAAGTAAACCCTCCAGGCCTCTCGCCTCTGTCTCCGCGGACTTGAGGGGCCAGCAGAAGACGCTCTTCAGGGCATGCCAACCCAATAAAACCACATTCTGCCCACTGCGGGCAGTCGCTGCCAAGTCGCTGGCAAGGTGGGCCGGAGGCGGGGGGTGGGGGTGGGGGGATTCCGACCCATCGCAGCAGCGACCACCACGCGGCATCGGACTGGGCGTCTGGCCCCGCCCCCAAAGGCAGGGGGGGGACATAAGTGGGCGTGGCCGCGGCCCCGGGGGACCTGAGCGGTCGCGACAGCCGGGGAGGGCGGGCCTTCGCCCCGAGTGACGCGCCGGCGGCCCAACCCGCGCCGGAGCGCGGGGCCCGCCTTCCTGCAGCCTCTTCCGCTCGGCTGCGGCGCCTGGGAAGGTTGCGGTGGGTCTGGGCGCTGGGAAGTCGTCCAAGATGCTTAAAAAATTCGACAAGAAGGACGAGGAGTCTGGTACGCGCTGGGCTTCTGACGCCCACCCACCCTCCGCCGCGGGGGGTCCCTTCCCCCGCCTGCCTGCCCGCCCGCCGCACCTGCTCCGGGGACTGCAGACCCGGGGGCGTGGGCGCCGGTGTGCCGGGGGCCGTTCCAGCAGGGCCGGCCCCTAGCCCCTCCCCCGGCGGCGCCGGACCCTCCCCCAGCCCGGCCGCGCAGGCGCCCCCGCGCCCGCCACCCCAGCCCGCTCGGCGGCCCCGCCCACGCCCCCTCCCCTCCGCCCCCTCCGCCGCCCCCGCCCCCGCCCCCGCCCCCTCCCCTCCTCTGGGCGCTCCGAGGCGGCGGGCGCCGGGGAGGGGGCGGAGGGAGGGGGTGCGTGTGCGAGAGTCAGGGGCGAGGGGTGCTCCTAGTGCGAGGCCCAGAGCGAGTCTCAGATCCACCAAACTGTGTGCGTTGTGTGTGTGTGAACTTGGAAGTGACTTGTGCGTTACAGTCTTCCTGGGGATCTGTATACACTGTCTGCTCCCCAGAGGTCATTCCTGGCTCATGGCACCTAGATCTTGTAATGCGCCCCAAAGAGAGTCGGCCCCATACCTTGGCCCAGAGCAGAAGAGGAAGATACTAAACCACCTTGCAAACCAACAGAACAAAACTCAGTGCTTGATTGCTGCGCTCGCTAATAAAGAGTGGGAGAGGGTTGGGTCAAACCTCCATGGCCCTTTTTCCACCTTTAAGCATATGTGATGACCTGCTAAACGCGCTTCTGCCTCCCGGTAAATGTTAGAACACAACATCGTGCTCGCCTTTAGGGGAAACTCCAAAGGGCCCTACCATGATCTCATTAATCTCGGTCCTGTGGACATGACAGATAAAACTTGTAATATTCATATATTAAAAAAGAGGACAGGGCAGGGTTCCTGCAGAAGTACAAGATCTTAAACAAGAAAGCAATGACAGACATAGCTTCAGAATAAAAATGACTATATTTAGTTGATATGCATGTTAGTAATGATTATCACTGTGATATCCAAATGGTCGCTTCACTTGGGTGAGAGATCCCAAACATTCAGTATCCTGCAGAAAATAAGTTTGTGTAGGACAGCTGTTAAAGATATGTTTTGTTTTATGCTATAGGTAGTGGCTCCAATCCTTTTCGGCATCTGGAGAAGAGCACTGTCTTACAGGAGGTATGGCTTGGAAGTCTATTGTGTTTCTTCTTTTCCATTCCATTTTAGAATGGTGGGCAGAGAGCCCCTGGAATGCTGAGATCCGAAATAAGAATTAAGGAATATGTCTGAGTTCAGAGAATATAGGCTTAAGGGGAAAGGAAAAGGATTTGCTTGTCAGAGGAGAGAGAAATGCAAAAACATTTAGACTGTGCTACATGTTGAGAATTATTTATTTAATCCTCCTGGAGGATGTGTTTATTGAATTTTTGAGAGAGAAAAAGAGAGAGAGAGAAACATCGATGTGAGAAGCATTGATCATTTGCCTCCTGTACAGGCCCCATTGGGAATCAAAATCACCACCTTCTTGGTGTACACACCAAAACAGCCACCTAGCCAGGGCCACTTGTTGAGAGTTTTAAATAAAATGCCAGAAGAGGTGTTTAGTGCAGGGTTATTGAAGGAAGTTATAGATATTCAACTCATTATATTCAAGTGATATCAATAAATAATTGTGATTCTTTACAGAGCTTACAAAGTTGAAGCAGAATATCTAAGGGAAAAGCAAAATCACATTTAATAAGTTATATATCATTATAAATGGAAAACTATAGGTAGTTAACATTATTTGTATATTGTTATTAAAATACATAATAGCCTTAATTTTATAAAGGTTGATTTTCTGTAATCTGAGATAGAGAAAATAGAATATATATAAAACTGATTTTTTTTGTTTGTTTCCAGGCTCGACTATTCAATGAAACACCCATCAACCCAAGAAGATGTCTGCATATTCTTACAAAGATTATCTACTTACTGAACCAGGTAAATTATTTTAATTTTCTTCAGATTCGTAGCCTGGAATAGAAATACATAATATATAGTAAAGTACTTTCTGGTAAGTATAATTATTTTTTTTTAATTCACTTATTTAAAAAATGAACAATATTTGATTAATAGAATAACATGTAAAACTTCTAGAGACAAGGACTGTGACATATACTACCCTGATTCCCCGAAAATAAGACAGTGTCTTATATTAATTTTGATCCCAAAGATGTGCTAGGTCTTATTTTCAGGGGATGTCTTATTATAGTTTTCCATGCGCTAGGTCTTATTTTCGGAGGATGTCTTATTTTCAGGGAAACACGGTAGTACTTTTACACATGAAGTACTAAATCAGTTAAGCACATAGTAGATTCTCAACATTGATTTGAATTTAACAAGCATTAATGTTAAAACATTTTGTTTAGAATTGTTCAGAGGTTTTTATGTTCCTCAAAAAACATAGTGCAGAACCTTAGACATATTCTAAATTGATATTTTATCCTTTTTTGGGGTCTGGCTAGGTATATAGTGATGTTTTACAGCTTTGCTTTTAATATTCAAATTTTATATTTATTATACCTATTCCACCAATATAACAATATGATTCTTCCTTAATGTCCTTTTCTATAAATGGGGATTATGATAATATCTATTTTATGAAGTTGTAGTGATTAACTGAGATAATAAATATTAAGCATTGAGAATAGTCTTGGATACATAGTAAGCATTCAGGAATAGTTTTCATTCAGTTATTCAGCAAATGTTTATTACTAATCTGCTATCCTATGCTCTGTTTTATATATTGGGATATAACCGACCAAACCAGCAAAATATTTGCCCTAAATAAAATAGTGTCTATTTGTCATTATTATTACTAATTTAAAATTTTAGATGTATTTTTTTGTTCTTGTTGACTTAAAAAATTTCATAAAATTTCTAGCGCCTTAGAAAATGTGATTTTGTTTCACACACACACACACACACACACACACACACTCTCTCTCTCACTCTCACACTCCTGGATGGTTTACATACGGTGCTAAGAAGACTGTGGTTTCCAGTTTTAATTCCATGAGAATATTTTATCTTTACTATGCTTCATGACTGAAGACTTCATCTAGAGACATAATAAAGTTTTGTAGTATGCAAATGAGCAATGAGTACATACTTTTGTTGTTGTTGTTAATCCCCACCTGAAGATATTTTTCCCATTGATTTTAGAGAGTGGAAGCGAAGATATTATTTTCCTTTGATCCCCCCTCCCCCTTTTTTAGAGTGGAAGGGAAGGGAAAGAAAGGGGGTGTGTGGTGGTGGCGGGGGTGGAGTGGGGGAGAAAGAGAGAGAGAGAGAGAGAGAGAGAGAGAGAGAGAGAGAGAGAGAGAGAGAGAGACAAACATTGATTGATTGCCCCCTGCATACGCCTCAACCGGGGCCATGAATGAAGCCCACAACCCAGGTACCTGCTCTTGCCTGAGAATCAAACCCAGGACCCTCTGGTGTGTGGGCTGACGCTCTAACCACTGAGTCAGACCAGCCAGGGCCAAGTACATACTTTGAAATAAAATTCACAAAGCCATATTTGTCTGTGGTATCATAGTGGAAACACTTAAGGCACAGTTAGTTTGATTTAATTTTTATAGCACATGTTGTGTCCAAGTTACCTAAATATATTTATTATAAGCAGAGTGTTGAGTAGTTGGTGTTGGTTCAGAGTAGCATATACTTTTGTATTGGCCAATTGCTCTTTGATGGGCAACTCATGTTGAAACATTTAATTATCTTGATAAGAAACTTACCAAGCACAGGCTGATACAGAAACAGGTTTGGGAATCTTAGTTTTTTCTTTTGCCTAGATCTTGGGGGAGCTTAGTGGAAAAATACTTTTAAATTTGTCTTCCAGAGTTAACATATTTATATGTTTTCTGAGTTTTAAGTCAAGTAGGCACTCAAGTTTTACCAATATGACTGAAAAGTACTTGGCCTTCTAGGTATTCAGGAAGCAGTTATGAAAGTAAGAGGGGAAAATCTCTTGCTGATGAGCAAGTTGGATATTCTGATTAAAGCAATTGTAAACTATTATACTTTGCCTTTCATCCTAAGCTTTCAAAGTGTTTCATCTAAATTGGCTTATCCTTAGACTCATGACAAATAGAGTGAAGATTACTTATATTCTGTGTGAAATTTAAAGTTCTGAAAGTGATTGGGCCTGACATTTAGTATCGGAAGATATTACATTGAAATGGTAATGTTTCAGGTAGCCTGTGACCTGCAGTGTTTTGACTTCAAGTGAAATGGTTATTTAATACATTGTTGCACACAAAAAATCTGGTTCTCAGATCAGTGGCATTCTCATTACTGGAAGCTAGTTAGAAATGAAAAATTTTAGGCTTCAGCCCAGAGCTATTGAGTCAGAATCTGCATTTTGGCAAGATCCTCAGCTGTTTTATTGAGCACATTAAACTTCTGATTCAAAACATGTTTTAGGGGCTTGAGCCAGTATCTTGAAATTTATTAGCAGTCCCTTAAGCCTTTTATTTAACTCACCTGATTTTTTCCCTTTTAGTGGGTTCCTTTTAAGTTATGTTTCCTGGATTCCTAATAGTTCTTTTTTTTCTTTTAAATATATGTTTATTTATTTCAGAGAGGAAGAGAGAGGGAGAGAGAGGTAGAAACATCAATGATGAGAGAAAATCATTGATCAGCTGTCTCCTGCATGCCCCCCACTGGGATTGAGCCCACAACCCAGGGATGTGCCCTCAACCAGAATCGAACCCAGGACCCTTTAGTCTGCAGGCTGACACTCTTATCCACTGAGTCAAACCAGATAGGGCCCTAATAGTTTTTTTTTACAGTTCAATATTTATTATGTTCCAATGAGAATTCCAGGCTTGTGATGGGCATTGGATTATAGAAAGGTAAGGGATATGATCTCTGCTTGAAGGAAGTGAAATAATAACATTGCAATCTGATTAGGAACTCAACTTGCCATCATCTCTACCTCCTTGTAAATCACAGTTCTTTAGGGAAATTAAGACAGTTCCTGCTGTAAAGTTAGAGACCACTATTCTAGAACTTTTATAGCATGTTCTGTGATACTGAACTGTTTTAAATAAGCAGTTAAATAGCTATGTCAGAAAAAGCAAAAAGGCCATTGTTTACAAACAGGTTTCCCCCCTGCATTCTAAAAGAATTTTGCAGAAATAAAGAGAAAATCCTTAATTATTGTTTTCAATTTTACTTAGGGGGAACACTTTGGAACTATAGAAGCCACAGAAGCCTTCTTTGCCATGACTCGATTGTTTCAATCTAACGATGTAAGTCCTTTTATTTTATTCTTTTAGGCTGAGAAAGCTGCTTTTATTTGTTTTTCCTTGGGGAACTCAGAGTGCTCCAAATTAGGGAAGGTTGCTTGAAATGTTTAAAATTACTTTAAAATTGTTTATTTTCCTAAAATGTTCACTAAAGGACCTATGAAAATAAAAGAATGAAGTCTATAGAATAAAGCTACTCATCCACGGATCTACCGTACAGTCATAAAGGCTGTTACTACCCAGCTTCTGGCATGACACTGCCGAAGTGGACTGGCATGGGAGTCAGCGGACAGAGCTTCCACATCTCTGCGTTCTTAGTCCAGTTTCTGGTGGGCCTGGGATTGCCATTGGTTAGCAAAGCTGGAAATTGAGAAGAGCTGGATGCAGAGTGGGAAACAGGACATGGAGTGAGTGTAAAGAAGAGTGAGGACAAACTAGAGCTGCCAGAGCCTCCGCATCTGTCTCCCATTACCTTAGACCTGTGGTCGGCAAACTGCGGCTCAAAAGCCACATGCGGCTCTTTGGCCCTTTGAGTGTGGCTCTTCCACAAAATACGATGGCCTGGGAGAATCTATTTTGAAGAAGTGGTTTTAGAATAAGTTTAAGTTTAAAAAATTTGTCTCTCAAAAGAAACTTCAATTGTTGTACTGTTGATATTAGGCTCTGTTGACTAATGAGTTTGCCGACCACTGCCTTAGACCACCCTGACTTTCAGAGCACAATGCCTGATGCTTTTCTCCTGTCTTCTGTGGCACATATTTCTCTTTGCCCAGCTCTAGCTCAGAACCATACTAGAGAAGGGGATTCCTGAATATATATTTTCCACCTTTCTGTTGACATAAATTGTCCAAATCTTAGTGGTTCAAGGTACTCAGCTGCATCAGAGTCTGCCCCTGTGTCTTCATTCCAATTTTCAGGGCCCCAACTCCTCCCAGTCAAGGTCCTAACTTTAACATAAGATGCCCTACAAGGGTGTGAATTGAATTTGCATTGTAGTTCAGCCTGCAGAGTATGCCTTTCAGCAATCTCAGCCTTGTGTCCATATGACATAGGCTTCTTATTAATGCAATATAGAACAAGTCACCCAGGCCTTGAGCTGTGAATATAAAACTTGGAGCTCATTTTCTTTTACCAAGTTCTCCAGTATAGTACTTAGAAGCAGCTAACCCATTATGCAACTAATTTTTATAAAAATGTTCTGCGGCGGCAACTACTGGGCCAAAGCCTTGTCTTTTATAGGTTCTTCATTATGCTTATCTGAGGTGAAAAATTAAGTATTTGCCACTGCATACCATGGACTACTAGTGTCTCCTTTACCACTAGAAACAGGGTCATTAATGGATTTATCAACTCAGAGAAGCAAATTAAGGTTCATATCTTTAAGTTCCTATTTCCCTTTAATCACTCCCTGTATCAAAAATTCAGTGATTAATCAGGAAAGCAGAACCACCATGATTATTATAGAATTTCTAGACACCCGGTACATGAAATTTGTGCACGGGGGAAGAGGGATGTCCCTCAGCCTGACCTACACCCTCTCCAGTCTGGGATATCCCTCTAGCAATCCAGGATCACTGGCTCCTAACCACTCACCTGCCTGGCTGCCTATTGCCACCAACTGCCCTCCCCTGCAGGCCTGGTCACCCCCAACTACACTCCCCTGCTGGCCTGATCTTGCCCCCAACTGCCCTCCCCTGCCAGCCTGATATCACCCTAAACTGCCTCTGCTTTGGCCCCCACCACCATGGCTTTGTCCAGAAGGAAGTCGGACAACCAGAAGATGGTTGGTTGACCTAGTCTAATTAGCATATTACCCTTTTATTAGTATAGATTATTAGAGGAATTAGATTAGAATGCTTGGCATTTCAAGCTATTCAAGTAGAGCCAAGGAAAAGGACTATTATAAAAGTTATGGAAAAAGTATGGAGTTTCCTCAAAAAACTGAAAATGGAACTCCCATTTGACCCAGTAATCCCACTCCTAGGAATATATCCCAAGAAGCTAGAAACACCAATCAGAAAGGATATATGCACCCCTATGTTCATAGCAGCACAATTTACAATAGCTAGGATTTGGAAACAGCCTAGGTGCCCATCAGCAGATGATTGGATCCAAAAACTATGGTACATTTACACAATGGAACATTATGCTGCCATAAAAAAGAAGGAATTCTCATCATTTGCAGCAACCTGGATGGAATTGGAGAACATCATGCTGAGTGAAATAAGACAGTCAATGAAAGAGAAACGCCACATGACCTCACTCATTTATGGATAATAAAGAACATTATAAACCAATGAACCAAAAGATAGATATAGAGATAGTAAAGCAACAAGCAGACTGTCAAATTACAGCGGGGAGGGTAGGGAGATCTGGGGAAGATAAGAGATCAACCGAAAGACTTGTATACATGCATATAAGTACAACCAATGGACACAAAACTCTGCAGAGGGAGGGCATGTATGGGAGGGTGGGGGGGAAATGATATATGTACACAGATAATAATTTAATAAAAAAAATAAAAGTTATGGAAAAAGAACCCACTGAATGGATGAATATATTTGCCAATGATATATCTGATAAGGGGTTAATATCCAAAATTTATAAAGAACTTATAAAGCTCAACACCAAAAACACAAACAATCCAATTTAAAAATGGGCAAAAGACCTGAATAAACACTTCTCCAATGAGGACATACAGATAGCCAATAGACATATGAAAAGATGTTCAACATCACTAATCATCACAGAGATGCAAATTAAGACTACAGTGAGATATTACCTGACACTTTTTCGAATGGCTATCCTATGTAATAAAGAAGTAATACATTAATTGACCTTCATGCCATTACAAAGATGGCGGTGCCCACAGCCAATAAGGAGAGAATATGCTAATTGACTGCCACACCCTCAAATATGGTGGTGCCCACAGCCAATTAGGAGGGAATATGCTAATTGACTGCCCTGCCCTCAAAGACAGCGGTGCCCACAACCACAAGATGGCGGTGCCCAGTCCCCTCAGCCCTGCCACCCATCTGCTTCCAGAGTGTTCCAGTCCCTTCAGCCCCACAGCCGCCCAGGGCCAGCCCAAGGCACAGGCAAATCTCAGATGTCAGCTCCCCAGCTGCCTAGGGCCGGCCCGAGGCTCAGGTAACCAGGGCAGGCTGAGGCTTGTGCTGCCGGCAATGGCAGTAGCAGAGGTGTGATGGGGCGTTGTCTTTCTCTGATCCCAGGGTCGCCTCCTGCCCCTGAGGGCTCCCAGACTGTGAGAGGGGGCAGGCCAGGCTGAAGGACCCCCCTCCAATGCATGAATTTTCATGCACCAGGCCTTTTGTCATTAATAAATCAACAAACAACAAATGTTGGCCAGGTTGTGAAGAAAAGGGAACCCTTGTGCACCGTTAGTGGGAATGTAGACTGGAGCTGTGAACAGTAGTAGGAGTTTTCTTAAAAAATTAAAAATGGAACTGCCTTTTGACCCAGTGATCCCACTGCTGGGAATATATCCTAAGACTCCTGAAACACCAATCAGAAAAAATAGATGCACCCCTATGTTCATTGCAGCATTATTTACAAAAGCCAAGATTTGGAAGCAGCCCAAGAGTCCTTCAGTAGATGAATGGATAAAAAAGTTGTGGTACATTTACATGATGGAATACTACTCTGCTGTAAAAAGAAAGAAAATTTTAACCTTTGCATGGATGGACCTGGACTAAGTGAAATAAGGTAGTCAGAGAAAGACAAGTACTGTATGATTTCACTCACATGTGGAATCTAGTGAACAAACTGGACTACCAAGCAAAATAGAGATAAACTCATAGATAGAGAGCAGGCAGACAGCTTCAGTGTGTGTGAGGAGTTGCTTGGGGGGGGGGGGGGGGGGCGGGGAGAGAGAAAGTGGAGGGAATAAACAAAAAAGAAAAAGAACTCATGGACATGGACTATAGTGTAATATTTGGGGGTGGAGGGAGTGGAGGTGGAAGAGGGCATAGAGGGATAAAGGATGATGAAAAAATAAAATAAAAATAAACAACAACAAAAATGGTATGGAGGGCCATTGTTTCTTTTTTTTTTTTCTTTTTTTTTTTTTTTTTAATATATTTTATTGATTTTGTACAGAGAGGAAGGGAGAGAGATAGAGAATTAGAAACATCGATGAGAGAGAGTCATCCATCAGCTGCCTCTTGCACACCCCCTACTGGGGATATGCCCGCAACCAAGGTACATGCCCTTGACCGGAATCGAACCCGGGACCTTTCAGTCCCCAAGCCGACGCTCTATCCACTGAGCCAAACCGGTTTCGGCCATTGTTTCTTTGTGTCTGTGGATTTGTAGGGCAACTATCTGGTCGTGGGCCTGTGGTTGCTGTTGCTCAGAAGGTGGGCAGTTGGATATGGAGCAGGGAAGAGTATACAGAGCAGGGAAGAAACAGAGTGAGGAAAACTTGAAGCCTCTAGCACAGACGTTTATTAAAAGAGAAGGCATGACATAGTGTTCTAGGAAATTAATTGCAGCAATGTAGGATTGTTTGACAGGACAGATGGCCCTTGAAGTTAGTGGTCATGAGTTTGAAGTATTACCAGGTAGCATAGTGAATTTTTTCTCCAGTTACAGGCTTCAGGTTAAGGTAGGGGTATCGAACTCAATCAGAGAAGGGGCCAACATCTAAAATCCAGCCTAAATCGCGGGCCGAATGGTTTACTGAACAGTCATAAACTGTCATTGTGATGGAAACGCAGCGGAGTGCAGTGATGACAGCGTGGTGTGGGCCACATTGCAAGGCCTGGCGGGACGGATTTGGCCCGCGGGCCTTGTGTTTGACACATGTGGGTTAAGGCATGGAATGGTCAGGGTTGGGATTTTGCCAATTTAGTAAAGAGAGAGAGGTGAAAAAAAGTTTGAGTAATTGAAGTATTGACTGTGGAATCTGTGTTTGGTTAAGAGGCAAGTTAAGAACAGGGGCTGATTGAAATAGTCAGATGTTGATAGGATCAGGATATCAATCCTGATGGAATGAAAAGAGTTGTTGGAGTCAGGAGTGGTGGTTGGAGAGTAAATGCTTGGAAATGAAATTATGAAAGGGATATGCTTATTGATAAAGTCTATGGCAATAGAAGTGAGTGATTACAATAGGAAAAAGGACAGGATCATTGGGGAATAAGAGCCAAGGAGAAGGACTATCATAAGAGTTTTAATATTATCTGTATGGGTATTAAATTCACCAGTAATTAAGTGGGGTAATATTGGCAATAGTGATAATGAACAAAGTAATAATATTTTTTAAATGTAAGGGAAGTTAACCAGCATCTATATATGCAACCAGGAATGGTGGGAGGTGATAAAGTCTAATGGCATAAGTTTTGAAGCTAGAACTCTTAAGGGAAGGATTTAGAGTGAAAGAAGGCAGTAGAGTAATTTTGAAAAGGCAGTGAGCATCAACTTGGACAACTTCCCCACCCCTAGGGGTGGTGGATGAGGGTGACAGGAGAGAAAACTACCATTTGAGAGGGCTGCAGGGGAATCTCAGGGGGGGATCCAGGTTTTAATTAGAGAAAAGATTGGACGGTTCAGAGAAGAGGTAGAATAGAAGGAATTTTGCTGATGGAAGTGCTGGAGAACATGGTGGAGGGGTTTGGGATTTGTGGAAAAGTAGAAGCTGGACTCAGATTGGGTGCTGTACCCAACTGCATGGTGGGGAGGAATGACCAGGATATTTTAGTTTTTTGTGTTTTTTTTTGGGTGGGGGTAGTGACTGAGGTAAATAATCATGAATAGCACAATGTGATGCGTTCAGATGGTCCCTTAGGCAGGATATGGGATTGGGAGTGTGATGTATAGGGGGGAAGGAGAGTTGAGGTTTTTGCCAGGAGCCTGTGGAGTGCCTTCTTTTCCCAGAGGCTAATACTGTCTTGAGAATGGTATCCTCCATCCATGTGTATATAGATGGATTACATATGGTTGCATCCATAATCTAAACAATATTTTTGTGTTTTTGAAAACGAAATATAAATAGTATCATCTCCATATTATTTTGCAATTTAAAACAGTATGTTTTTAAGATCTATTCACTTGCTACATGTACTTCTGCTTTGTTCGGTGTCACTGCTGATGGAATCCCTATTTATTGTGAATGTACACTATTCCTATTTATTTATCCATCTCCCATAGATATTTGAGTTGTTGCCATTTTTTGCTATTACAAATGACATTACACATAATGTTTATGTAAATGTCTTCTTGTGTACACATTGAGAATTTTTTTCTGGGGTAGATAGCCTACAAGTAGAATTTCTAGATGTGTTAGCCATTTGATCTTGTCAAATTGATCTTTAAAGGGTTACACTAATATATACAGACTGCTCCAAATCCTCACCTCTTCCTGATAATAATTTTGTTTTTTTATTGTAAGACCTAACATATTTGTCATTTAAAAGAGTGATTTTTCAACTTTTTTCCTCTTATGGCATGCATAAACTAAAAACTAAAATTTTGCAGAACCCCCCAAAATATATTTTTTTGCCGATCTGACAAAAAAAAAAAAAAAAGTATAATTTTGATTCATTCACACCAGATGGCTTTTATTGTGTTGGCTGTTGTCCTTTTTCTATTGGACAATCTAAGGAAAAAGATCACTGCCCGTGACTTAAGAGTCAGGTATTGCATGTTGATTTTTATTCCTCACACCAGGATATGTGTACTGATTTTAGAGAAGAAGGAAGATAGACAGGAAGGGAGGGACGGTGGGGGGTGGGCATTGATCTGTTGCTTCCTGTACCAGCCCCAACTGGGAATCAAACCTGCAACCTTTTTGGTATACAGGCCGATGCTCCACCCAACTGAGCACCTGGCCATGGCAGGTATTGCATGTTTTAAAAATTCTTGTGGCACACTAATTGAAAATCATTGATTTAGAACACATGTGTCAAACACGAGGCCCGCAGGCCAAATCTGTCCCGCCAGGCCTTGCAATGTGGCCCGCACCGCGCTGTCATCACTGCACTCCGCTGCGTTTCCATCACAATGACAGTTTATGACTGTTCAGTAAACCATTCGGCCCGCGATTTAGGCTGGATTTTAGATTTTGGCCCCTTCTCTGATTGAGTTCGACACCCCTAATTTAGAAGAATGTGAGCCCTAGCCAGTTTGACTAGGTGGTTAGATCATCGGCCCTTGGACTGATTCAAGGTCACATACCTCAGTTGTAGGCTCCATCCCCACTTGGGAGAGCCAACCAGTCAAGACACACTGATGTTTTTCTCTCTCAATCTTTCTAAAAATCAGTGGAAAAAAAATCCTCGGGTGAGGATTAAAAAACAAACAAACAAACAAAAAATAGAAGAATGTGAAATGGCATCTCTTTATGTGTGTGTGTGTTTTAAAATAAATCTTTATTGTTCATATTATTACAAATGTTCCTCATTTTCCCCCCTTCCATTGCTCCCCTCCACCAGGTTCCCACCCCACCCTCTTCCCTTTCCCCAACCCCCATTGTCTTCATCCATAGGTGCACAGTTTATGTTCAGTCTCTTCCCACACCCGACTCCCCTTTTCCCCGAGAATCATCAGTTCACTCCCCTTCCATACCTCTGATTCTATTATATTCACCAGTTAATATTGTTCATCAGATTTTTTAAATTCCCTTGATTTTTAGATTCACTTGTTGATAGTTACATATTTGTTGTTCATAATTTTTATCTTTATTTTCTTCCTCTTCCTAAAGAACCCCCTTCAGCAATTCATATAATTCTGGTTTGGCTGTGATGAACTCCTTTAGCTTTTTATTTTTTTATTTTTTTATTTTTTATTTTTTATTTTTTTATTAGTGAAGCTCTTTATCTGGCCTTTGATTCTGAGTGTGATAGCTTTGCTGGGTAGAGTATTTTTGGCTGTAGGTTCTTGCTATTCATCACCTTGAGTATTTCTTGCCATTCCTGTCTGGCCTGCATGATTTCTGTTGAGAACTCAGCTGACAATCGTATGGGTGCTCCTTTAGAGGTAACTACCTGCTTTTCTCTTGCTGCTTTTAATATTCTCTCTTTGTCTTTTGCTCTTGGAATTTTAATTATGATGTGTCTTGGTGTGGTCCTCTTTGGATTCCTTTTGTTTGGGGTTCTGTGCATTTCCTGGACTTGTAAGTCTAATTCTTTCACCAGGTGGGGGAAGTTTTCTGTCACTATTTCTTTAAGTATGTTTTCAGTATCATGCTCTCTCTCTTCTTCTGGGACCCACATAATTCTGATGTTGGTTCGTTTGAAGTTGTCCCGGAGGTTTCTTACATTATCTTCAACTTTCTGGATTCTCTTCTCTTCTTGCTTCTGTGGAGGAATGTCCTCTGGCTCTTTGTGTTCCAAATCTTTGACTTGATTCTTGAGATCTTCTATTCTGTTTTTAGGGCTGTATAGTTTTTTTAAATTTTATTTCAGACAATGTATTCTTATTCTTTATTTCTAGTTGATCCCTTATCATATCCTCATAGGTCTTATTTATTTTATCGGCCTTTTCTAGGAAATTCTTGAAAAACCTTATAAGTGTAGTTTTGAACTCTATATCCAGTCACTTTTTGTCCTCCATTTCTTTTGTTTGTGATCTGTTTCCTTGTCTCGGCATTTTCGCAGCTTCCCTGAGTTGGTAGCCTTAAAAGTCTCTGTGTTCAGCTTAGATGGGGCACAGTTTCAGGGTGGAGCCTACAGCCTTGGCTTCCATCAGCCCTGCCCTATAAGATTCCTGAGTCTCAGTGTTCCTCAGTGTCCTTCGGTACTCGCTGCAAGCACCTCTGAGAGAAAGGTGCCCTCGAGTTTTGCCCGCTACCAAACAGTCTAGGCTCTCCCCCAATGAGCCTGGAACTGGTGCAGTTCAGTTGGAAGTGGGGTTCAGGCCGTCTGGAGTTTTTGTCTCCTTCCCGCTAGGGGAATCCAGCGGCACAGTCAACCATCCATTCTCTGGGAGTAATGTGCGCTCCTCCGGGACTTCCTTTCGCCGCTCCCCTGAGTTTCCGCCTTACAGTCAGGCTCCCTCCGTGTGAGCCTGGGTCCTCAGGGTCTGGCCTAGAACTGGGGTTCAGCGCTGTCAGATCTGGGGTTCAGCACAGTCCGGAGCTTTTATCTCCCCGCTAGGGAACGCCAGCCAGGCACTCAGCCACCCTCCTCTCTGGCTCCGTCCTCTCCGCATGCGCATGTCTCCCTATCTTGGTACCTTAGGCTTTTACAGCTCCTCTGATTTTCCTTCTGGTTTTCTCTTCCCTTCTTGTTGTAGAATTTCCAGTCAGTCGACTTTCCTGTAGTTCTGGGTAATGTCCATTTTGTATTTTAATTGTATTTTATTAAAATTATTGTGTGAGGCTGCAGTTAGGTGTTTACCTATGCCGCCATTTTGGTTTCTCCTCTTTGTGGTTTTAATTTACATTTTCATGATGACTTAAATTTGAAACTCTTTTCATATGTTTAGTGACTATTTTACTTTCCTTCTGTGAATTATCTGTTCATATTCTTTGCTTATTTATAATCCTTCTATTGATTTGTAAGTTTAAAATTTATTTTTATCTTTTTAAAAATCAGTTTTATTAAGTATAATATAACATATACAATAAAATTCACCAATTTTAAGTGTACAATTCAGGAGTTTGGACCAATGTATAGAGTCATGGAACCATCACCACAGTCATGATATATAAAGTTTTCATCCCTCCAGAATGTGCCCCCACCTCCCTTAGTTGTCACTCTTCTCTCTCACTCAACTCCTCACTCAATCTGGCAATCACTGATTGTCTTTCTGACAACATAGTTTTGCATTTTCTAGACTTTTGTTTAAATTTAATCCTATAGTATATAGTCTTTTATGTCTTGGTTGTTGTTTTTATTTAGCTTATGAATTTTGAGAGTAATTCTAGTTTTTGTGTGTAT